TTTGGATAGCCAAACAATAGATACTCTCAGAATACATTGTGTATACAGGTACTGGATGCCCAAGCAATGGATTTTCTCAGAATACATTGTGTATACAGATACTGGATACCCAAACAATAGATACTCTCAGAACACATTGTGTATACAGGTACAGGATACCCAAGCAATGGATTCTCTCGGAATACATTGTGTATACTGATACTGGATACACAAACAATGGATTCTCTCAGAATACATTGTGTGTACTGGTACTGGATACACAAGCAATGGATTATATCGGAATACATTGTGTATACAGGTGCTGGATACACAAGCAATGGATTCTCTCAGAATACATTGTGTATACAGGTGCTGGATACACAAGCAATGGATTCTCTCGGAATACATTGTGTATACTGGTACTGGATACACGAGCAATGGATTCTCTCAGAATACATTGTGTATATTCGTACTGGATAATCAAATAATGGATTCTCTCGGAATACATTGTGTATACTGGTACTGGATACACGAGCAATGGATTCTCTCAGAATACATTGTGTATATTCGTACTGGATAATCAAATAATGGATTCTCTCAGAATACATTGTGTATATTCGTACTGGATAATCAAATAATGGATTCTCTCAGAATACATTGTTTATACATGTACTGGATACCTAAGTAATGGATACTACCGTATACTTGCTGTATTTATACAAATACAAACAGAATCCATTAAAGTGGATTTCTATGTGTAAATCTGAATACGGAACAGTCTACACAGTGTGGAGTGTTGTTTGTGTAGCATTATCCTACTGGGCCACGGGACATTACAACCTCCAGCGTCTGGGGTAAGCAGAGCCAGATGGGGTCGCTGATGCAATGCCTGTGTTTCGATTTAATGTTTGTGTCTTTTTGTAAACTTGCGTCACTGAAATGGACAACAGTCACGGGAATTATTGAAATCAACAATATGTCAAAGGACAGTAGTTTCTGGGTGTGTTGTGTGGCATAACTTTTTTTGTGTAAATTTGTGTCTCTCTTTCGCATTTTTTCCTCAAAAAGACGTAATAATTCTCCGAGACTAGTGCTGTGAACGGGAAATGTAATTGGATAATTTTTCATGGGTGGGAAGTTGGTTACAGTTTTACCCCCTCCCAAATGATCCTTTCTGAGGTGGTCCTCGAGTATAAACCCCCAACCCCCTACCGATTTATGATCGAGAAGTATGGTAATTAGAACTTGTGACGATAGTGGCATATCATTTCTGCATTTGAATTTTATCAGTCATTTTGATTGATTTAAAAATTTATATTCATAAAATGTTTAAAACATGCAAAAACAATTTCTTAAACCTTTTCCTCAGGCTTACCTGGGGCACTTTCTTTCAAACAAGTAACACATGATATGTTTCTGATGCACTTGAGTTTGTTTTGTTATTTGATTCAAACTGGTAAACTGGCAACCATTTATGTTTTATTTTTAAATGTGCTTAACCATTTATCAGACATGTTTTAATTGATTTTGGTATGAACATTTGTTAATCTTTAATTCTCTAATTTTGATGAATATTTTTCTTATTTTCGATTAAAGTGATATTTTCGAGTTCTTGTTGAAAACCACAAGTCTGATAGCTAATGATATTGAGCATATGGATGCTTTGTTTTGATATTGAGAATACCTTGGATTGATCTCTCTTTGATTTGTTCAATTTTTGATAATATCTTTTGTTCTCTAATTTTGATGAATATTTTTGTATTTTTTTAGTAAAAAGTGATATTTTTCATGACTTGTTGAA